CAGACAATACCAGGGACATTAGAGGAATCAGGTAAACCATTCACAACAGAGCCAACACCCATCACACCCACCTCACTAACAGGAGGCAAAATCGTAACCTCATCCACAGGAATACTAACTTCACAATCAAATCCCTGCACCTCAGGCACCGATGCAGAGGGGACAACAACATTATCAATAATAGCAAGGGTTAAATTAGAGCTCAGATTAAGAGAACCATTAGGGGGAAAAACCGAGCTAGGACGGCATTTACCCAAAACATGGCCAATACATTAGTGAGATGCACAAAAGGGGGGGAATTCGTCTAACACAACCTCCTGAACATACCCAAAATTTTCAGCGCCTAACTAGACTTGATTAGGATAGGATTTAGTTATATCAAGCTCCATTAAGACACGGGTAATAGAAGGCCGTGAGCCTATAGAAGTAGCCTCATCAATTTTCAACGGTTTGCCAAAAATAGCATCAAGCCCACAAAGAATGCGAGGGGTGTACAAATAGGGCCGGAGATGAGGAAACAAAATCCAAATCAGAATCATCTGCGACTCAATACCAACGTCTAAGCAAGGAAACCACTTTGTTAATTTCATATAATAGTTGAAGACCAGATAAGATCTATGACAAAAAATCCTACAATAGTCTAGGTCATTAGCTAATTTGATCAGTATGTGAGTAAAATCCAGCAGGGTAACAGATACTTCACCATTTAGCTTTAGGTTAAAAAAAAAATTTGGATGGTGTCCAAAGAAGGCCTCTTAGAAGGAAATAACCCCACTAAAGCAAATTGAAAAGGGGAAGCCAAAGCCTTGATCTTATGGTCGAAAATCCAAAGCGAGGGTAGACCACGAAATGTAGAAGTCCGAAGATCCGGAAAGGAGGAAGAAGAAGAGGAGCCAGCAAGCGCATCTAAAAATGAACGGGAATGAGAAATACCCCCCAAGAAACTAGGGTCATGCAACTTATTCGGAGTCATACCGGCTCCGATGGAGAAAAAAGGAGAACAAAACCGAGTAAACACCAAAACAAAAAAGAAACGTAGATGAGGAAACTCCCCTGGACTCCAGGATAGCAAAAGGCGGGGAAGCCTCGGCAGGGCGGGGATAACCCCGGCGCCATGCAGCAACGGAACCTAACAGAAGGAAAAAAATTCTAAGGGACGGGGCGTGAGTTGGCTTCTATGTAATAATTATATTTATCATATTTTAATTTAGGTTTGTGTATGTTTTATGGTTGTTTGGATTTATTATTGTTGAATTTTCAAATTAATAAATTCTAATATAATTTAGAACCTACTAATCTAATAGGAGACAAAACTAAGGGTAATCAAATTAAATTTTAGTGCTCCTAATCACTAACGTGGCCACCAAACATACAATCGATAGGTTCGGGATGTAACTACAAAATAATACTAATTTGCAAATTAAATTTAATTCTAAGATACATAAAAAAAAAAGGCAGGGATTTCTCAAGGCTTGGAAAATTGTACAACCATTGACTAATGAGACTTAAGGTTTTCTAAGTTCTAAAATACTTACATACACCACATCTAATATCCGGTGAAATACGCCCATAGCACCTTCTTTCAGTAGCAACGAATACGGCCGACTTCCTTAGATTCTTTTGTTCATTTGATTTCTTTCCGTTTATGCAGTAAAAAAAAAAGTAAAATAATGGTTAGAGAGTGGTATTTAGAGAGTTATTAATATAAAATTTCAATTTAAAAGAAACCAATATTTACCTTTCTTAGAGCTTATTGGTTAACCTTGTTTGCTTTGTCTTTCAAACTTCAAATTAGTATTTGTGTATTGGATATTTACTCATAATCATCGAGAGAGATGATTAGAATTGGAGGAAAACAAAGATTCATAGGAAGAGAGGATCTTGAAGTAGAGCCATCTTTTTTTAATAAAGTTAGAACTATAACATGTTTTATGATATACTTTAGGAGTTTATTTATGCATGAGTTGGTTACGAGAGTTATGGAGAGAAATAGTGATGAAATTATTTTAAATCATTTTCTCTTGCTATTGATAGAAAAAAAAGGAAACAATTCTTATATTTGGAGAAGCATGCAACATCAGCAAATAAAAAAGATCATAGAATATTGTGCATAAGAAAAAATGATTGATTTCATTGCCTCTAGATTTTAATTCCAAATCAAAGGCACGAAATGAAATTAACTTAAATTTATAATAATGAAGCCTTAAGTGGATAAGACCTTGAGTGGTAGCAGAAAGAAAGCACGGGTTGGGTTCATAAGTGCGGCTTCACGTGGGCTGAGGCGGAGTAATTCAGATTTGATGCAAGCAATTTGGTTTCTATTGACTCGCGACTGATAAATTTGGGTAATTCAGAGTCATCGTGGTTAAAATCGGGCTTGATTTGAGTCGATTTAACTTAATAGCACGCTTATTTCAGATTTACGTCGATACACTTCGTGTAAAGAAGCAGTTATAGTTCTTGTATTTATTAGCTCTTTAGTACAGTTTATTTACGACTTTATTGTAATCCGTTTATAAATACTCTTGTATTTCTTCAAACAAGATTGAGAATTGAATAATATTAGTTTTCTAAGTTCTGTTTCCTTTCTTTCTGCTCTTCTGTTCTTTCTTCCCTGTTCCACTTTCATGGTATCATGAGCCAAGGGGATCAAGAATCGGCGAACTCCCTCCCTCCCTCTGCTTCGACTCTCTCCGGCAACCTTCTCACCGCCGGCGAACTGCAGATACCCGCCCCACTGAAATTTCTCATCTCAAATTTGAAGAATCTTGTTCTTCACGCCCTCGGCGGAGACCATTATGCAATATGGAGGATCCAAATCCTTCAGTAATTCACGGCTAACACGTATGCCGGTCATCTCCTAGGACCCACTCCCTGCCCAGCCGATGTCTCCTCTCAAGAATCACACTGTTGGCATCTCATAGACAACAACCTCATATCTGCCCTGTTCTCGACCATTTCACCACCAATTCTACCTTATGTCATCTCCTCTACGACTGCTCTTGATGTCTGGCTTGTTCTTGAACGCAGATTACAACCCACTTGCCGTTCCCATGTGATCCAGCTCAAGAACGAGCTTTACCATGTACAAATGCAAAATCTAACAATGCAGCAATACTTGTCTCACATTAAAACTATAGTCGACAATATTGCTGCATCAGGTTCCAATGTTGATACCGAAGACATTGTCCTGCACATCTCGAATGGTCTTCCGACCATCTACAATTCATTCAAGACCGCAATACGGACATCTTCTCTTCCGATCAACCTGGACAATTTATATTCGTTACTCTGTAGCGAAGAGATCAACATTAATAGAGAACTTGCCAAAGAAAGCTCCGTTGCCGCCGGATCCACGGCACTCTATACCGCCTCTTCAAATGCGAACCGCAGTCGTCAACCTCGTTCCTTCAACAAAAACAAGAATCAGATTGTCAACACACCTCCGCCGGTGTCTTCTCCGACTGCACCTATGCCGAGCAACTCTAACACCGGTAGACAAACCTGTCAAATATGCAATAAGATTGGGCACATAGCCCTCAACTGTTGGCACAGGAACAATCCAAGATTTGCTCCTACCAATTCACGATCGATGTCGGCTCTGTTTGCTCAACTGAACAGCACACAATCTCAGGACTGGATAGTGGAATCCGGCGCTTCTAATCATCTCACGCCGGACCTAGGTAACCTTCAATATCCCAACACTTTTCAAGGCCAAGAAGGCGTCTCCATAGCTAATGGAACACAGCTACCGATCCATCATTCCTGACAAGGACTTCTCCCACTCCCGGACACCCCTCGTAAGTTACATTTACGCAATCTCTTACATGTTCCCAAATTATCTCACAATCTTTTATCCGTTTCTCAATTAACCACTGAAAATCCCGTTTCAATAAGTTTTGATGCTAACGGCTTTGAAATCAAGGATCTCAAGGACCACTATCCGCTTCATCGTGGGCATCTTCATAATGGATTGTATCACCTCAGACGATCGGGAGCGTCGAACACCTCGGCCTTTCATACAAATCTTCGCTCGGAACAACTCTGGCACGCCCGTTTGGGTCATCCGCACCATCGCCTGCTCAACATTTTAGCCAACCAAATTCCTGAAATTAATAATGTATCTTCTTCCTTTTCTTGCACATCTTGTATGATGGCCAAGTGCCATAAGCTTTCTTTTAATAAAAATATGTCTGTTACTTCTCATCCCTTCGACCTCATTCATTCGGACGTTTGGGGGCCTTCCCCCATGCAATCTACGGAAGGATTTCGGTACTACGTGATCTTCATAGACGACTTCACGCATTTTTCTTGGTTGTATTTAATGAATGCTAAACATGAAGTTTTATCTAAATTCAAATTACTTTGCAAATTTATTCACACTCAATTCAACACCATCCCAAAGGCCTTCCGCTCCGACGCCGGAGGAGATTTCACCAGTCACGATTTCACTATGTTCCTTAACCATCACGGTATCCAACGTCAGTTAACCTGCCCACACACACCTGAGCAGAATGGCCTCGAGGAGAGAAAGCATCGTCACCTGCTCGAACACACGAACCCTGCTTCATGCGTCCAACCTTCCACATACCCTGTGGGCCGAAGCTCTGTCCACTTCAAATTATATGGTAAATAGACTACCTTCGTCGGCTATTTCATTCCAAACACCCTTCTATAAACTTCACGGTTGCCAACCCAAGTATGATCATCTTCGCACGTTTGGCTGCCAATGCTTTCCGTGGCTTAAGCCATATGCCGTAAATAAACATAAGCACTGGTGTCGGGCAATGGAAGAAGAATTTGCGGCTCTTCAGAAACAATGAACTTGGACACTCGTTCCAGCACCTCCGAACACGCCTATCCTAGGGTGCAAATGGACTTTCAAAACTAAAGTTCTCCCAACCGGTCAGATCGACAGATATAAAGCCCATCTTGTAGCTCAGGGATACGACCAGCAATTCAGTATAAATTATACCGAGACCTTTAGTCCGGTAGCGAAGATGCCAATAATTTGCATTCTTCTTACCGTTGCACTTCACCGGAAGTGGCAAATCCTACAGTTAGACGTCTCAAACGCATTTTTGCACGGAGATCTCTCGGAAGACATTTATATGCGTCAACCGATTGGCTTTGTGGATCCTAAAGCACCAAAATCCGTATGCAAGCTGAACAAATCATTATACGGTCTGAAACAAGCACCCCGAAAATGGTTCGAGAAACTCACGAGCTTTCTACAAAGTCAAGGGTTTAGGTTTAGTCGTTCTGATCCGCACTATTAATTTCTCCCATAATCAAGTTCAGATGTTTCTTCTTATTTATGTCAATGATTTTCTTCTTAAAGGAAATGACGCAACAGCACTTCAAGCACTCCTCTCTAAATTGCAATCCGAATTTGCCTTAAAATAGTTAGGGAACATCTCACTGTTCTTGGGAATTCAAGTAGTAAGTCAGCCAACCAGACTCTTCCTCACGCAGCAGCATTATGCGGAACAAATCATCCAAGAGTCTGGCCTGGCGGACTGCAATCCCTCTCCAACCCCTTTTCCTCCAAAGGCTAACCGTCCCAGCTCACCATCGGAACCTTTCTCCGAACCGACACTATACCGACGCCTTGCCTGGTCTTTACAATATCTTTCAATTACCCGACCGGATATAGCTTTTGCGACCAATCAAATATGTCAACACATGCATCAGCCGACCGTTCAAGATTTCCAATCCTTAAAGAGGCTACTTCGGTATATAAAAGGTACAATCTCATTCAGTCTTCCATTGACAACCGGCGAATTAACATTGCAGACATACACGGATGTCGACTGGGCATCGGATTCCTCCGATCGCAAATCAATTTCGGGATTCTATACATTTCTAGGACCAAATCTTGTCTCTTGGTCGGTCAAAAAGCAAGTGACGGTCGCGAAGTCGTCCACAGAAGCCGAATACAGGTCTCTCTCGGCAGCTACATAGGACGTTATATGGCTCCGGTGACTTGTGGAGGAATTCGATCTTCCTCAGACGACTCCTACCATCATTCACTGCGACAATACATCCGTCATTGCTCTAGCCAAAAATCCTGTCTTCCATGCTCGGACCAAGCATATCGAGATAGATTATCACTTCATCCGGCAACACATAGGCTCCGGAGAAATCTCGATCAATCACATTCCTTCTACCGACCATATAGCTGATATTTTAACCAAGCAATTCTCTCCTGCTCGCTTTCATGAGCTTCGTCGCAAATTAACCATTCGACAACATAATGGTTAATTTTAGGGAGGCTGTAAAGAAGCAGTTATAGTTCTTGTATTTATTAGCTCTTTAGTACAGTTTATTTACGACTTTACTGTAATCTGTTTATAAATACTCTTGTATTTCTTCAGAAAAGATTGAGAATTGAATAATATTAGTTTTCTAAGTTCTGTTTCCTTTCTTTCTGCTCTTCCGTTCTTTCTTCCCTGTTCCACTTTCACTTCGAGACGAGCTGATTTAATTCAAATCATGCTGAAATTGAGTAATTTTGATTGGATTAATGTCGATTGGATCAAGGTAGGTTCGATTAATGTCAAATTTGATTAATTTAATTTTTGATCGACTTTAAATGACTTGGTTTGATATCTAATTAACTTCAATTAGCCCGAGACAGGTTATGTAATGTCTATTGAACTTGGTGAGTTTAAATTGAACTCAAATGGAACCCTTTCAACTCAACAACATTCGATTAGATCATTACATTCATAATTAAATTTGATTTGGGTTGAATTACAAGGCAGCCCGAGACAGTGTTACGCTATTGGGTATCCACATAAAGGGAATCCTAAAGGTGACATTTACACTAGGCTATGAAAACCTAGGTCCTAAGGAATGAATTCAGGGAAATCAACCTCATACAAAATTGAGGTCAACACTCATCCAGCCAAAAACAAATAAAATAATGGCATAGTGTTTGTGCCAAACCAAATTATGCCAATTAACCTCCCTCTCCCTCTTTAAAACTCAAGTAAGAAGTCCCTAAAACAGCCAGTTTCTCCATAAATCGATTTTAAGGTAGCAGCATCATCTTCCAAAAGAATGGGGAGAGTTGGAATTATACATCATTGATATAATAGAACAATTATAAGCAAAACGAAGGCTTTGAATATAAGGAAGCCCCAATTCCATAGTTTTCTTTTATCCTTAAACCTTGATCATGTTTTTAATCATTTGCTGAATTGGTTGGAATTTAAGGAGGAATATATTGGTAACATTTAGGGACTTTTTTTTTTTTTTTTGGAAAATTTGGACTTAGCCTGTAGATAGAAGTTAATATAAAATTTCAATTTAAAAGAAACCAATATTTACCTTTCTTCGGGCTTATTGGTTAACCTTGTTTGCTTTTTCTTTCAAACTTCAAATTAGTATTTGCGTATTGGATATTTACTCATAATCATCGGGAGAGATGAATAGAATTGGAGGAAAACAAAGATTCATAGAACAATAACATGTTTTATGATATACTTTAGGAGTTTATGCATGAGTTGGTTACGAGAGTTATGGAGAGAAATAGTGATGAAATTATTTTAAATCATTTTCTCTTGCTATTGATAGAAAAAAAAGGAAACAATTCTTATATTTGGAGAAGCATGCAACATCAGCAAATAAAAAAGATCATAGAATATTGTGCATAAGAAAAAATGATTGATTTCATTGCCTCTAGATTTTAATTCCAAATCAAAGGCACGAAATGAAATTAACTTAAATTTATAATAATGAAGCCTTAAGTGGATAAGACCTTGAGTGACCGCAGAGAGAATTAAAGCACGGGCTGGGTTCATTAGGGCGGCATCATGCTGAAATTGAGTAATTTTGATTGGATTAATGTCGATTTGATCAAGTAGGTTTGATTTATGTCAAATTTGATTAATTTAATTTTTGATTGACTTTAAATGGCTTGGTTTGATATATAATTAACATCAATTAGCCCGAGACGGGTTGTGTAATGTTTATCAAATCTGTCGAGTTTAAATTGAACTCAAATCGAGCCATTTCAACTCAACGACATTCGATTAGATTATTACATTCAGAATTAAACTTTATTTGGGTTGAATTACAAGGCAGATCGAGACAGTGTTACGCTATTAGGTATCCACATAAGGAGAATCTTAAAGGTGACATCTATACTAGGTTATGAAAACCTAGGATCCTAAGGAATGAACTCAGGGAAATTGACCTCATACAAAATTGAGGTCAACACTCTTCCAGCCAAAATTAGATAAACGAATGGCATAGTATTTGTGTCAAACCAAATTATGCCAATTAACCTACCTCTTCCCCCTATAAAACTCAAGTAAGAAGTCCCTAAAACAGCCAGTTTCTCTAGAAATTGATTTCAAGGTAGTAGCATCATCTTCCAAAAGAAAGGGGAGAGTTGGAATTATACATCATTGATATAATAGAACAATTATAAGCAAAACGAAGGCTTTGAATATAAGGAAGCCCCAATTCCATAGTTTTCTTTTATCCGTAAACCTTGATCATGTTTTTAATCATTTGCTGAAATGGTTGGAATTTAAGGAGGAATATATTGGAAACATTTAGGGACTTTTTTTTTTTTGGAAAATTTGGACTTAGCCTGTATATTGAAGATAAAAAAAAAAGATTACAAGAAATAATAAAACCCAAAAATTGCCCAACACAAAGAAGGGACAAGCTCAACAGAGCTAAAAAAAATCAACTAAAAAAAATAAATACACAAAATAATGATGCTATAAACTTCACAAAAAAAGAACTCAAAAAGCCAAAAAAGCCTGGACTTAGGGATTCAACTAGCAAATCATAGAAGAACTCAAACCTCTGTTTGCCAGAAGACCACACAAAGGGGAGCCTGCAATAGGAGCCTGCAAAAAAGAAAACCTCTGTTTGCCAGAAGACAATTATACCAGCAGGCAACTACAAACAGCAGCTAGCCCAGAATAGCATGTCTCGAAACAGAGGAATCCAGCGGGACAAAACCAACAAAAATGAGAGGCAATGAGTAAGCCCCAGCTAAATCAAACCCATATAATTTCTAAAATTCTTCCACTTGATTTCTTTCTCAAAAATAGCTTTTTTAATGCTTAGGGAAGTAGTAGTGCTGCTATTAAGTTTAATGGATTACCAGTATAAATCTTAGAAAAAGCCTCCATAATAGAGTCCAATAGTTATCAATATTAGTCCAATAATTTTTAAAAAGGAATCTGTGATAAGAGTTATAAGCAAATCCATAGTGCAAAAATCATGGGATAGTGATCCAAGCAAGGACTTTGAAAAGAGCAGTAATAGCTGGGGTAAAAGTTCAACCAATCATTGTTGACAAGGGCACTATTAAGTTTAATATGGGTCGGATTGTCAATACGTTGATTGAACCAAGTGTAAGAACAACCAACCGGATGAAGATCCCTTAAACAATTTTCAAAGATCATATTATTGAAATCCATTAAGGAACCTTAGGTAAGAGCCGCGCCCCCTAGTTTTTAGAAACATACTTGCAGTAATTAAAATCCCCCAAAAGAATCCAAGGGAAATCTTGAGGAGGAGCTATTTGAGAAATGAGGGCCCAAAGATTATTCCTTTCTGTACTGCTATTAGAAGCATATAATCGTGAGCTAAAAAGGGGGGATGGAGCCAACCATAAAAGAACTTGAAATAAGTTGAGATGATACACAAACTGGGATCAAATTCATCTTACTAGCATTCCATTTGAACCAAATCCGACCTGAAGAAGATTGGTCAAAATTATTGCAACTTGGTTCATTTGGAAAGACAGCGTGAGAAATTTTGAAAAAAGGGTTTTGGAGAGAGGGAGAATGAATTCTAGTCTCCAAAATACAAAGCACATTCAATTTAAACGAATCAGTCAAACATTTGCAACACAAGACTTTATCAAGATGGTTAAAACCCCTAACATTCCATACTGTAATAGACGATAGAAACATCAATAAATAGTGTGCGGTGGAGGCTTTTTGGCATGCTTACCCCTAGTAGATTTTTTGGTCACAACAAAATAAGAAGTATGTTGGGATGTTTCCTTAGCCTTTTGGATCTTTGCAACCATTTCATCACAAATAGAAGAGTCGGGAAGCTTGCATATCTCCGTCTGTGATTGAAGGACTTCTAACTTATTAGGAGATAAAACTCTCTGAGGCAAAGTTTCACCTTGACTTATAGAAGAACTGGCTGAAGAGGAGGAAATCTCTTCCATGGGGGAGTTGAGGTTGGGAATGTTAGCATGCCCAGACTTTAAAGCACAATAATTGACAGGAGGAATCGTAGTTACTGGTTTGGATAAGAACTTTTTTTGAGGTTGTTGAGGGGCTGTTGAGTGGTTGCTGATGGGTTGTTGAGGGGGTGGAGAATGGGGTACATAATAATTACAGCACCAAGCTCACTCATAAACAACCGAGGGAACTCAGCAGTAGGGGACTCTCCCTCCAAACCCTCAACAGAGTCCAACTGGATGAAATTAACTAGATTAGCCTCCTCACATTACACACCAATCTCAACTGGAATAGGAGAAACAAAATCAGCAGAAACAAAAGGAGGGACACCCCTGGCAGGTGTAACACCATTCTCAATAGGATCATGAAATAAAACCATATTAGTAGGCACAGACAATTCAATCCTAGCAGGTGTAGAAACTGTAGCCTGGGCAATAATGGCCACCCCCTCCAAACCCGCCACAAAAATAGTTGGCTTAACCCCACGATCAGCTACCTCCGTCGAAACAGAAGGATGAATCAAAGCAGCAGATTCAAGATTAGGATGAAGAATCTTACACACATCCTTAGAATGACCTAAAGCAAGACAATGTGTACAATAGTCCAGAAAATCTTCAAAAATCACAGATTGAACATAACCAGTGCTATCCGGTCCGATCCAAATTTTGTCTGGGTACTGTTTGGACACATCCAGTTTAACTAAAATGTGTGCAACAAATGGACGTGAACCAAAAG